TCACGATGGACATTCAATTGTATCTCACAAATATTTTTGCAAGTTCTCTCATAGGAAAAATTGTTGTAAATGCTTCTCGTTTTTCTTGGGTATGGGTGGAGGAAAAATAAATATGTGAAAACACTGAAAATTTCACAAATGAATGTTTTCTTTGAGTTTAACAGTACGATATGTCTTGTTGATAATTTTTTGAGGAATTTTTGGCACTTGAATTTTAAAAGGGCCTGTTCTGTTAACTGTTGAACATAGTCGTTGATCTACTTATGTTGTCGTTCCTAATGAAAGCTACATTGGACTTAATTCCAGTTCTAGTTTAACATATCTATAATTGCAGATTCAATCTAGGTATTGATACCTACCCAAATATTTCATGAATAATCTACTGTTGCAGTTATTGAATTTTGTAACTTTTGGCAGTAACATATCAATATATAGATGTAGCCTATTTAGTTCTAATTATAGATAAGAACAATTGAATAGCTTGTTCATGTATGATGTAAGAACGTGACTAGAGTTAATGTGGTTGTTGCTCCAGATACTCCGAAATTAACAAAACTATTGCTTTGATATATTATACTATTTCTATTCCAAACAAATTGAACAATTCATCAGTCAAGTATTGCCATTTGGTTTTGTTGAAACTCCTGGCATCTCTCTGCAGTATATACAGGCCAGACCGGTAGAAATTTCTAAATAAGACTCGGTGAACAGGTCGGTGTAGAGAAAAAATCTTCTATGTACGAACATCTACAAGAAACAAACCATAAAATAAGCAAGGAAACCTCAAAATCTTACATACATGTAGTGAAGGAAAGAAAATGAATTTGTTGGAGGCCATGGAAATCAATAAATCAATTAAAACCTCAAAATATAGAACCCTTAATGAACAAACAGATTTGTGTAGGTCTCCATTTTTGAATTTATAAAGATGACAACGCAATTAATCACAGTTTGAAGTTTATGTAGTTGGTATTAATGAATGTAGGTAGATATCTTATTACCTACTCTAGGATATATATACTCCGATATTTCTCTTAGCACGTCCTTAGTGTTAAAATACTTGAGAATGGTGTGAAAACCGAAACCTTGGTCGTATTAATATCAATACATTAAGTAAGTGGAAATTAGAAAGTATTTCATTTCTATATCTACATCATTTAATTGAAGATGAATTTCCACAAAATAAATAAGTCATCAATATCACAAATTGACATAGATATCATTAGGAACGCTACACAACGTATTATGTGAAAGTATTGATATAAAATGTTACTTATATAAAACATTATCATTCTCCAGCTTCAAAGTTTAAGGCAGGACATTTGTCGTATCACCACATTTTGTATTCATTCATGAAGAAGTTGAAAGCGAGAAGCTTTTAAACTTTTCTGTTTCTGAGTGTTTGAAAAATAAGTGTGGAGGCCATTCTTCATTATTTTGTTCGAAAGGAAAAATTTAAGAGTCTTGATGAACAAAATTGTAGTTGGCATCCACTACAACTTGATTTTATAGTATACCTATAAATGAGAATATTAAATATTGTTTTTGACGATAGCATTCAATTCATTCAATTGAGAGAAATAGTTATATTTAATTTGATTATTAGTAGTTACCAAAGTCTGTGTTAGATGCCGTCTAGTGTCGGAAATCCCAAATCAAAGATGTTATCTGGTTCACCGTACAGAAGGTTTCTGTTTCCTTGTGTGTTCTATTTTTACTATTCTAGATGTCTCTAGCATGACGGGAACGCAATTGTTTACTAGAATAACCTCTACTATATTGGCAGAATGTGGTTTCACCACGAACGTGGTCATTTATCCAGGGCCGTCTCAAGAATGTTTCAGTGCTTTCACATGTGCAGTTGATTGCTCTAATATAAGAATATCGAAACCTTTGGGATGAAGCGAGATATAACTACTGGAATATTACATCTCATTTCATGATCTGCATGTTTCCAACAGAAAACATTATTATCATTAAACATGAAAAAAATATATAAGACGAACATGTTCAAACCGTGGGGTAAGTGATCATTGGTTCCGGAAACCAAGTGACCTAAGCAAGCGTAGTGAGAATCAGCCTTCTGCCTCTTTCCGGCTAAGATTTCTGCCTTAGCGCAGCAACACAGCACGATAAGCTGGACATGCTGACATGATATGTTCGTGAAAAATAACTTCTTTTTGGATTACTAATGAGTTATATCACCAAGAATATTTGTTAATTTTTTGTTTGTAATAGTATGGAACAGAAAAACATTTTTTTCCAATCCATCAGCTGGATTACAAAATGTTTGAAAAGTACGTATTTTCATCAGCTTGAAGAAAATGATTAAATATGAGAAGTTTCATGATGTTGATTGTTTTACTAAATATTTTATTAAGGAAAATGATGTATATTTAGTATCCCATAACAAACGTCAATAAGATTACTATCATTAATCATTTATATATCATTTCAATGATCTCCTAGGACCTTAGAACTATTCTATTCTATCTGCAGACTTCTAAGGATAACCATCTTATGATCGATGTTTTGCTAATACAATGTTTATTGGGTAGTTTTTTCTTATACGCCCCCAAGACATGGATATTTAACAAGAAGATTTGCTGAAAAATATGAAAAATAACATGTTACCGCTCTAAATCCAATATGGCGGATCGCTCAAGATGGCGAACTAGTTCCTCATGCATCCCCATGATATTAGTATGAAATGAAAGGGTTTGCTGAAAAGAATACGAGAATTAAAAAGACGTCACTATAAATCCAAAATGGTAGACAGTGTTCTCTGTTTTTTATGCCACCTCGTTATATCAATTTCAAATAAAAGGGTTCAATGGGAAAAATTCGAAACGGAAGATCATAAGATGGCTACCACACCAATTTTAAAAGTTGTAATTTGGCAAATATTATGGATAGTTTGGTGNTCTATCTATAGGCAATATTGTGAAATTAATTTTATATAGCTTGTTAAAATAATATTTCATTTATTAGATTTATCTGACTATAACATAAGGATACATTGTAAAATTAATCCAGCAAGACTAGTAGATAAGCCAATATTGTCAAATTAGTTTGAGACACTAAAGACGCAGGTAACGAGAATAGAAGAAGTTCTTCTCAGTCATGAACCTATTTGTCCTTTTTTGACAAAGATCAGCCAAAAGGGTTTGATGTTCCTCTTGAACATGATGATTTGGTGATCGAAACACGTGTCGAGGTATTGAAGTTTCATCGAGTATTACTTTATCTTCGATTAAGATGATGCCTTCTTTGTTTAGAGCATGTTCGGCTATTGCCGAACTGACCTTAGACTTTTTTTAATAGTTTTTGTTGGGCCTAAATGTTGGTTTCAGGTCGGGTCTCTCTAAAATCCTCCCAATCCGGTCTGTAACATTTTCAGAATTGGAAAGGAAAGTTTTTCCTTTGACCACCCTAACTGGGGTAACTTTGGTGTTCTCTTTCATGGGTCGTATGGCCGGCTCGAATTCTCCTTTGCTGTACCCATTTCATTTGAGATATTATACCAATTAATTTTCTCAACAAAATGCAATATAAATAATTTTCTCTGATTTTGACTAATATGGAAGAAAATTAAAAAAAAAAATGTCACTTACACTATACCTGTATATTTTCATGGTAAATAATAATATCCAGAAACTATTTTTAACGATATTTCTACTGTTCTTTCGTGGTCTGATTTTTTTTCAATTCTCATTTTACTTGTTATAAATGAATGATTTTCTCAATTTATTTCTTTATAGAGAAAAAAAAAAGTAAAAAAAAACATTTTAGAGTTTTTTATTCCATTCTCAATATTCACATTTTCTTATTGTTAAAATCTACATGACGATCATACGCAAAGAGGAACATTGGTTTAGGAGGAAATTCAAAGAAGCCGCATATATGTTATCCAACAATGTTTTCAGCCAAGCTAGTGTAGAGATACACAATATCTGGAAACCCACAATGAAGCGAAAAATGGCCAACTCCCGACAAACGGTAATCTCCCACTAAACCAGTGAAGCGGAAAAAGGAAAGCAGAGATGAGTGAAAGTACTCGAATGACCTATAAATAGTCAGCTCACGGAGAAATCCGTCCAGTCATCACCCGAAGACGATTGTGGATACCAACAATTTGCTTGAATTTGTCTCAATTCGTCTGATATATTGCTAGAATTTGTCTTAATTTGTCTGAATTTGCTTGAGTTTGCCTGACAGAACTCTTCAAATTTGGAATACTACCTGCTTAATGATTAGTACTGGTGATTGAATCACCACTACGTCTTCTTCATGTGAAGCTAGGTACAGAAACGACCCTATCAAAATTTCATCTTTCACACATAGGATTTTAGTTCAGAACCCAGGCAATGTTACCTGTTCCATCAGTCACTTCAAATATGTACACAGAGGGCGTCCACCGAATATAAGTATGATATCCTCACAAACATGGATACATATCCTTGTTTGTATCTCACTTCTCACTTCACGTTAATCATTATGATCGAATGAAAAAAAATACCTTCTTGGCTGCTAGTGATACCACATTCGTTATCAAAGAGTACTAAAAAGGATCCTTTTTCACGAAAAAATTCGTTGATATCTTATTACGTTCGTTAAGACGAGTCAGGGACTTCTTACATTTGCCCTGTATAATGTCTTTGATAAAAAACGTTAATAAATCATAATGATTATAATAATTATTATTAGTTGTGGAATTGGCCGCGGTGGTAGTGCGCCCGACTCACGATCGGAAGAGCGTGGGTTCGATTCCTGCCTCGACCCGATATTTTTCTCGAGATAGTTTGTCTGGTTGAAGCTGGGATGATTCTGCAACCGTGTAAGGAATCACACGTTAAAAGGTAAGACCTTGTTAGTCCTTAGCTCGCACAAGTTTCTCAACTTCTGAGAGTTGTCGTTCGTATGGGGGCGACAGATGATTAACGGAAAAACAGATTTTAAACAGATTTTTTAAACAGATTATTATAAAAAATCATTCTCAGGTTCTGTGTGGACCACAACACCGATTCCAATGGGTCTCAGCCAGTAATGGGAGAGTCCCACCATGTTCCATAGAAGGCGGAAAAACATCTACTGGGGAAGCCCTCTACATAGGAAGGGTTAGACATTCCGGATCTCAAACTGTTGGAAAGGTATAAATATTTCAATGAGGCTAACCACGGAAATTTTTGCGGTGATGTGTAAATTAAAGGTTAGAAATGTTAAAAATGCCACGACTGAAATATCTTGGTACATGAAAATCTATTGTAGAAAGTAATTCCGGAGAATCAGTTCTACCAAGAACAGAGGCTTGTTTTCTTCTCTTTTCAATAGATACAAGGTCAACTGTTCGCAATAGTTCTATATAATTATTTTTTGAGGATACACACTAGTAGTTTTAAAACTAAAGTATTTTAAAAACTTCTTTCTGACTTTCTCAATATTTGATATATACTGATTATAAATGGGATTCCATGTTAAGGATCCATATTCTAACTTTGACTTTACTAAACTGGAATATAGGGAAGTAATAGATACAAAATTTACTGAAATTTTTTAAATTTCTGACAGTTAAACCGTAAGGGCGATAGGCAGAGTTAACAATTTAATTAATGTGATTATTAAAAGTTAGTTAATAATCAAAATGGACACTCAGATCCCTGAGACATTTGAAGTATTGAAATCTAGTACAGTCATCTATATCGATAACAGAGGTGTATAACTTCAAATCATCTGCAAACATTAATCTATTGCAGTATAATGTGTTGCATAAAGCATTTGTGAATATGAAAAGTAAAGAATGTAACTATCCCAAGATTAGATCCTTGAGGGAGTCCAGTGGCAGAATAAATATTTGGAGAGAAACAATTATAATAGACATGAAGTAATGATGGAAGAATATGCAAAAAATAAGAATACATATTTCAAATGGTTAAGGCTTTCGCGGCCGGGTTTCAAGGCCGACGATTTTTTGGAATTTCTTCCTGACGTTTGGCCAGCGCGAGTGGCTAGCTTCTTCAGAGCTTTATATATCCTGAGTTAATTTCTGATGACTGGATATTACGACTGCGTGATGTAATACCTAGTGAAAGCTATGTATGGTAATATACATTTTAAATTCGGGAAGAGACAGATTTATTTAATTCAGATTTTTTTAAACGCCGGATCTGTCTCCTATACAATGCAAAATTAAGGTCAGACTGAGAGTATTTATATAAACACTATTCATCGGCGTGTTTTGAAAAGATGCACAGTCAGATATATTTGTCACGTAGCTGAAAATCGCTCAGTATGTAAAAATGGGCATATCAATATCCTAGCATTGAAATCGAGAGATTTGTCAATTCAGCGAAATAGATTTTCTGGTGACCTTCGTCGCACGTGGACGACTGTCACGAAGAACGGTTTGAGAATCGGAGGGTGAAGGCCGAACTCAAGCGTATTTCGGATTTGCCTAACATCCAAAATTTGATGTGGAGAAATTCGCATCTGGTGATAGCAGCTGCCAAAATTAATTTACAAAGAATGAATAAACCAGAAAGGAGCATTTATTACACTGGTGACAGCTAAGAGAGATTTCACGAGGATTTCTCGGTTAAGAAATGTAATTCCACAATTCAGACCTGTTGAATTTTTTTTACGTTATTACCACTTATTATATTGAAGCGTATTTGTGTTGACTCAGGTAGTTTGTGATATATTTTTCAAATAAAGTTTTGGGAGATCAAATCGCGAGGTGTAGTTTTTGAAATTACTATGGATATTCATCAAGTAACGGCCGAATCAATCAGAAAAAAAAACCTATATTATATGCTGAAACTTCGCGAAACGAACCTTGAATTCCTAAAATATGCCAAAATCTAACATTCATCTCTGAATACACTGAAATAGCTGTTTAAATGTTGAACTGGAATTTGAAGTATTCACCTCTCCAAACGTTTCTACACGGTAGGATCTGGTAAATGCCATGGAGGACATTGAACGGATACTCCTTTTCCGCTTGGAGCTTTGTTGGGTAAATGGAACTCTTACTAGTCAACAAATCTTCATCTCAGACGAAGCTTTCTTCAATGCAGTCAATTTATGATGAAGTCACTTGAGTTCTAGATACACAGCCGTTATTGGTGAGATTTTTCCTGCTCTGACGAGGGGTAATACTCCGAAACCGGTCTGTAGGTGATCATTCAATTGATTTCAGCATTGTCCTGCTGCTAGATGAACGAGAAGCAACTACAAGATTATCCTCTATCGGGGACCTCGCATAAATGTTCATCATGGTATTAGTCATGGAAGTAGTTGTTTTCGGCAGGCTTATACCAGTTGCTTCTGGGCAGAAATGTTGGGAGAGGTGAATGTTTTGAGTTTCATTTCTAAATATTTATTTTCTTGATACGTTTGTGTTTCTCTTTGACCAATTTTATGTGTATGTGTATGTTTGTTATGGGTAAACTTCAAAACTACCTAACCAATTTCAAAAATTATTCCACCCGTAGAAAGTTGCATTATTGCCAGTAACATGAAAAAAAACTGACATCCCATCAAATATTACAAAAATATCTCCTAAGTATTTAGAAAGCATTCAGATTCAAAATATTTATTATACAAATAAATTGAAATGTAATCATTTATTATTTATATGAATGAAATAACAAGGAATAGAAATCGAGTAGTCAGACAATATTGTGAAAAAATATTTAGAGTTGACAAGAGATAAGGGTGATACTCAATTGAAACAAACTGGAGAGAAAGCAGTGAAAATGAATTCATAGAGCTTAGAAACAAAATATGAAATATACGTTTTGGTAGAATTAAAATGAAATTCAAAATACAAAATAATAAGAAATAAGAAATATCAAAATCAGTAAAAAAAATTACAAAACGGAAAAAATGAGAGGTAGGAAAATATTAAATTAATTAGGTAACTTTTTCTATAAGTGAAACTTCAATTGATAGTTTTATTTATTTATTTTTTAGGTTGTGTGAAGTTATCCATAAATGATGACATTTCCTAATTCTTATTTTAATTAATAAAATTAGTTATTTATTATGATTTGAAAAAAGTTTGATTTACATATAAGGGGCAATTCGTTGTAGAAAGTAGCATTTTCCCTTTTTACAATTTGAATTGAATTGGAAAACGAATTCGAAACGAATGTCTATAAATCATAAAGATTGAGAAACCAGGATTATAATAGATTCTTGGAAAATATTATAATAATTGCTCTACAGGTATTCAAAGAAATTCTCTAGTAATAGTATAATTGTTTTCTTTTCAGGTTCATCCCACTCACGGAGTATGCTACATCTCCTTCGGGGGCAAAGAAATACCCTTCAAAGATTATGAAATTTTGATAATGAGAGGTTGAACACATTCACGACTGAAAATTTTTGACATTCAACTTCTGTAAATAATACAATTAAAAGATTATGCAAAACACAGAATTATTTTTTTTTACTATGTTGAGATTACACTGATATTACGTCTTTGTCAGCTCAACTGCAAAAAACAAATAATATGTCTGGGTGGAAAATTGTGATCATTTCAATCTTTCCTGCCATAAATGCTAGTGAATATTTGGCAATATCTCTTCCCATTATTCTTTTCAATACCCTGTTGTCATGCCTATTCAAACAACAGGCAGTCCAATGTATTCAAAAACACAATACAGGAGGGCGAAATATTATTGAGTACATGCATAAGAATTATTTTACTTTGATCAACCGCAGAATTTTTTCCTGATCAGACCTGATCATTTTCCATTTTTTTGAGCCATGCTGTTGAAACATCAAGCCCTTTACAAAAAAATCGTGCAAACACACCCCTTCCCACAATAAATTTGAAATGGAATTAGCAACGCTAGAGTGTAAAATCACAATGCAAAATTCAGAGTGAGGTACAACCAAGTATTCTATAATATTTTTTGTATATTTGTATTTGAATCAGCCGAAGCTCCTCATCTATTAAGAAATCAACTTAAGTCAGTATTTTGTGAAACGAAACGAACTTTGGTTTAATAAAGAATACTCGGAATCTAAAAGAAGAATCCGAAGAGACTAGAAACTATGAAAACAAAGGTATTTTCCCCAGTTTCCAAAGGTACTCACATCAAAATACTTTTACAAAAATCTCATAAAGGATGAATGATTCCAGTATGAAATGAATATATCAACAGCTTTATCGACAACCAAGGACTTTTTGGTCAACTCTAAGACGTTGTCTTCTTGTCATCATTTCTTCCTGCTACTGAAAGGGAAATATTCACCCTTCCAGAGTCGCTGGCACTAATATTTCTATGCACCCTATTCCAGATCCGCCTATCACTAAAACCGAATTCTACAATATCCTCAAGAAGTGCAAAAATAATAAATCATCTGGAATAACATCATTTACAAACGAGTTCTTACCAATAATTGGGTAAGCTATTCCACAATATTATGGAAACCTCAACAATTCCGAACAGTTGGTCAAACATTCTTCTCACTATGATTCATGAAAAGGGTCAATTGTTCAGCAGAATTATTCACTAAAAAGTTTTGCAATGAAATCAGAAGTATTCTTTATGACACTATTTCTATTTTCAGACAGAGGTTTCAAAATTTGAAGAAGATATTTCGCAAGTTTTTGACAAGGAGATCCGATTGAACTGACAATTGGTCTCAGAGGACAATATATATCACAATCACCACAAACCCAACAACATATATGTGTACTGTTCCCAGTTTGTCTGAGAAATTGAGACGCATGGGTTATAGATATAATGTAAGAACAACTTTTAGAATTACGTACCAACAAATTGAGATTTCTTTTGATACAAACTAAACCCGAAAATACGGTTAAAAAAACGAGAGATTGTATTTACAATATATCTTGTTCCTGTAAAAAAATTATATAGGTGAAACCTCAAGACCCCTAGATGTGAGAAAAAAATTAACATCGTGAAAATATCAGGGGAAGACAGGACAGGATCTGAGATAGCGGATCATATTCTAAAATCAACTGGTGATCACGCTATAGAATGGAGTCAAACAAAAATGATTTCCAAAGTAACTTATGAAAAAATTAGAAAACTCAAAGACTCCGCATATATTCTTTGAGCAGGTAACAATTGTATTTCAAATATCTCTGTGGAAACGGATCGTACCTGGATACCATTACTAAGAAGAGAGGTTGGAAACGGTAATATGAACCTTAACTGAATTCTCAAAAAGCATCAGTATATCATTTGAAAGGGTTATAGTAGTAGTAAAAAGCCAAAAACTTTCCCAAAAATTAGTCACTCGTAAAAATATAACCCTTTCAAATTAAACATTATTCCTTTTGGCTGGGATTCAATCAAATAGTATCGTAATGTCATTACGATGTCATCGATGACATAAGTANTATTTAATTCAGATTTTTTTAAACGCCGGATCTGTCTCCTATACAATGCAAAATTAAGGTCAGACTGAGAGTATTTATATAAACACTATTCATCGGCGTGTTTTGAAAAGATGCACAGTCAGATATATTTGTCACGTAGCTGAAAATCGCTCAGTATGTAAAAATGGGCATATCAATATCCTAGCATTGAAATCGAGAGATTTGTCAATTCAGCGAAATAGATTTTCTGGTGACCTTCGTCGCACGTGGACGACTGTCACGAAGAACGGTTTGAGAATCGGAGGGTGCGAGGAATCCGTTATTTCTTTTTGGCTTTTTGGAAGGCAAGGAAGACAGAAGGTTCGGAGAAGTCTTGCCGCGTTCTGGGGTGTCACTGTTTTTATTTGTTATTTGGTAATTTGTTGTTTGTTGTTGGTTTGTGTTGTTTAGCTAGAGTTCAGATTTCAATTAAAAAAGAAAGCAAATTTAAGGGTATACACCACTCTCCCTAAAGTAAAACTGAAAGTATTTTGTACAGAGTTGAAGCATTTGTAGTTGTTTAAGAGGTTGAATTAATAGTAAATATCACACTCAAATTGGAGGCATTTTCTCTGTTCTATTTTCTTTTATTTTATAGAATATAGAATATCAATTTATATTGGAGCCTCTGACTTTCATTTTCTCTTGGACTGAGAAAAATACCATCCTCGCAGAGTAAGATGAAGTTGAGTAAAGAAAACAAAGAAAAATTAGAAATTTATTAGTCTATCTATCGAGAAGATAGAAGAAGAACTAGATACAAATTCAGTTATAGCATGTTCGGTATTGTTCTGGAACCATATAATGAGCGAGAACTATAAGTATATATACCAAATTATCAGGTTTCAAAAAGACCTCCTCTTCATGATGAAGGCCGAACTCAAGCGTATTTCGGATTTGCCTAACATCCAAAATTTGATGTGGAGAAATTCGCATCTGGTGATAGCAGCTGCCAAAATTAATTTACAAAGAATGAATAAACCAGAAAGGAGCATTTATTACACTGGTGACATATTGCTTTGATATATTATACTATTTCTATTCCAAACAAATTGAACAATTCATCAGTCAAGTATTGCCATTTGGTTTTGTTGAAACTCCTGGCATCTGTTCTTTTTTCAGGAATTGAAATGAAACTGTTAGAAAGGTTTTCCTGACCTAGTATCGTATACAGGGTGTTTATTAAACATGCGGCAAAAATTTAAGGGACTATTCTTTGGACTATTCTAAGAATATTTTTGTTTCGAAGATGCGGCAATAACATCTTAGGTACTTTTAAAATTATTAACATAGTCGAAATAAAAGTATAGACCCGGAGCACCATTTAATTTTTGTTATTTCATAATTTCATAA